TGGCCGCTTTCTATAACAGACAAGATACTAGTGTTTATAAGTAAAATATAAACTCAAAAACAAGCCTAAAACACTTTTATAGCCTTAAATAATGTAGCTGTATAAGAATTCTTACCTGGCAAACTCTGAAATCTGGATTTTTATGAATGTTTTTAGACACAACATCGATCTGGTTTCTTTCATTACCGACTCGAACTTGTCAAGGCACTTGTCAACGGCCGAGTGCCATAGGGAGCCCAACTTTTTTTGTTGTGGTGCAAAACACAGGAAACCCAGATTGATTAAAAAATCGTTTTAATAAGCCATTTCACAGATCCCGCGGCTCAACTTCAACCTCGTCAGCGTGTAATTGTTCTTTAGAATTAGACTACAACCTGTGAAATTTTTAAGTGTTTCAATTGTTCGTTGATGTGTAAATTCCTTTCATTACTGCGGACTGTAGTCAAATTCTAAAGAATAATTACACCCTGACAAGGCTGAGGTTGAGTAACGGGATCCGTGAAATGGCCTATTTGTTGTAATGATGATGCAAACAAACACAATAAAAAATTATTCCAGTAAAACTTACTGAATTACATGATAATCTATAACATGAATGACTAATAAAGAGGGAAAAAACTGCAGTAGAATCTTACTAATGTTAACGACAGTTCGAAATTGATTTTAAAGAGGTTGAACTTATATACACTATATACAATTATTCTTTTGGCATGTCATCATAATGATCACCTCTAAGGTTCATAATTAGTACTGAACAAGTGTATGTGACAGAGGCACCCACGAGTTTATTGGAGTAGATGCAGAACAATGTCCAGAATCAGGATATTAAATTCCCACACGTGCATGATTTCTTGACAAAGTCTGTAAGGATATCAACATAAGGCTGTTTTCGTTTCTTCGTCGTTATAGCTGAATAGTCAAGTTCAAAGTACTTACAGATGTCTTGTAAAACAGATATAGATAACTTGGTGAGACTGGAGGCAGCAGCCATCGAGCAGATATTGTAAGTATCGAAGACAATGGGATGATTAATGACAAATTCGCTAAGAAGCTCTTGTCGCACCAGCTCAAAATCCATCTCTTCCTGTGATGGCCTTAGCAAATCGTCGATCGCTTCTTCTTCAACGTCATCAGTGGTACTCGAACAGGTGGTGGTGGGAAGAGATTTCTTGGCAGACAAACGGGAAAAAAAGCTGGCAATCTGTTTGGATGTGAGGTAGCTGTCAGATTCAAACACGTAAGACCCATCAGCATTCCGTGCTTTTCTCATAGATTTGGAAACCTGTTCTGGGTCTGCTTTTCTTCCTGTTTGCTCTCCAAGAACAAAAAGGTCTGTCAGGTATTTCTTCTGGGTTTTTGTGAGTCGGCGTCGGCTAGATGATCCATATTTCAGTGCCCACCCCATGGGTAATTGAGGTATATCCGAGGTAGGTGCTGAGGCAGACTCCTGGACTTCCTCAATGGTTGCCTTCCCACTTTCTAAATTCTCAGCATACATCAGCATGGCTCGATCAAGAAAGGTTTCCTTCTCAAGAGCATATTTGTGCTTCCCAAAGTCCAGATGTTTTTGTAGTGATGAAAATCTTTCGAAAGTTTTTACGCATCCTTCTTCGGAAGAGGTGAACAGCATGTCATCATCGGTATCGCTGTCATCCTTGTGGGAATCTGCAGTGGCCTTTGGTTTATCTTTCCTACTTTGTCTAGGTATGACATCGCAGAAATCTGGAACCTGGTCATCAGAATACTCCATCTTCCTAAGGGTGGGTAAGGCTAGAGCTGACGAYGWCTTCGTTGTTTCAAATTTCATGTTTGGTATCTTTTTTCCCTTTCCAACGCCGTATGCTCTCCAAACCACMATGTTACGCTTTTTGAAGATAACATCATTGACAAGGCTTACGCCTTCCCATTTCTCTGTGAGATATGTCTTGGGAATCTGTAAACCACACAGCGCTACACTTAGACCACGTAAGCCACCATTTGATTCCATAGCGGTTTTCATCTGTACTGCGCTCGTGATGTCATTTCCAGAGTTTAGATAAGTGCGCATGTGATTCTTCAGTACAGCAGAGCTTTGCGATCGCAGGGACCTTTGCCTCCTTGAGGATCTGAAAAATCCATTCGCACGTCCACTTTGTGCTTCCTGGCGAGGTTTTGAACTCCAAGTATGGTTGGAGAGCTGTGATAATAGGCAGCGTTATCTTGTCTAAAGCTGACGGATTTCAGGTCTGGCATTGCACGTCTCAACTGGAGAATGACGTCAACTATAACTGCTATCACAAACAAGCTATCCTGGAAGCTATCCTGGTTGCTCTTGTCGAACACATGCACGAGGGTTAGGTTTTGTAGTTTACCATCTACCTTTCTCATCGCTACGCTGACGTGCCAAGACATTCCTCTTTTGCCGAACCAGTCGGCCTGGCTTTCACGGTACCTTCTGGGGATGAACTTCATTGCCCAATCCAAGACAACAAGCACTGAAAAGTCATCCAGTTTATCAATAATATCTAAGCGGGCCTCATCCTGGTTGACAGATCGTAGTAAATGGGCTTTCCACGCTTCGATATTTTTCCTTGCTTGGGCTACGATGAATTTCATTTCTTCTTTTTCTTCAAGGGGAATGTCATCCTCGTCCAAAGCTGACTCTATTGCTTGTACAGCAGCAGGAAATGTGTTGCACCTGTCGCAACTCAGATCATGTTTATGCTTGCAGGAATTCAAATAGTCTGGATCAGTTGAATGACTTAGGGCATAGGGACGACAGTGATCAGGAACCCTTGAACTTGATGATATGTGCACCTGTAAGAAGGATAAAAAGAAGGGTCAGGTGCTATTATCTCTAAAATCATCTGATTTTTGTTTTGTTGCCGTTTTCTTTTCAAACCCCACCAAAACTGGCATAAGTATACAACTATACGACCTTAACATTTTAGGATGAAAATTTTGGAGATATACTGGTCACGTGACCATGATCCTCCTTCCCATCAACTCCAAAATTTTAAATTAAAACGGGGTGATGAACATCAACCAGCGATAAATTTAGTTTATTTTCACTTCTCCCTATGAGATGTGTATGAATCTGCCTTAACACCTGAACTACCATTAGTCGTTAAAGCGATAAAATGCAAAATAGGTTACGTGACATTATTGATTAATCAAAAATAAGCAATATATACCCTTAACGAGCAATGGTAGTTAAAGCAGACTCATATACATCTCATAGAGAGAAGTGAAAACATAACATGAAGTTATAACATGATACCCATCGCCCCGTTTTAATATAAAGTTCTTGAGTTCATGCAGTGAGGATCCTGGTCACGGTCACGTGACCACCCTATCCCGAAAAGTTTCAGCCTTAAATCGTAAAGTCGTAAAGTTATAAGCTATGCTAATTTTTTTAAAGTTTGAAAAGAATATGTCAAATGAAAAAGAAAAAGAAAATTTAGAACCCCCCCCCCCCCGTTCCCGAAGCTTAACCCAGGCCTTAAGGTAGCTCCATATAGTTAAAAGGCTTTTGAGGTACATGTTACATATTGCTGTATTTAAAAAAAACAAAGTATGTTTTGACCCTTTTTTGCGCATTGTACTAATATTAGTAAATCAAGGTTTCAGTTTTTACAAAAAAATATCACATGACGGGTCGCCATAGCAACGTAACGTTAGTCTTAATTG